ATGCTAAATTACCTTGACGCACAGACACACAGGTCTCTCCTTGCACACCACAACTCCAAAGTAGACAGGAGAGATAAGGAAAGTTACGGAGATAAGTAGCACTAGTGCAACGGGTTTCAGTTGGGGGAATGTGTGTGTGTGTGTGTGGAGAGGGGGGGGGGCAGAAGGAAGAATGCAAGGTGTGAAGGCGGGCAAGATAAGCACAGAAAACAGATGGAGATGAGGGTATGTGGAGGTCTTGGGCTGATTGAGGTGATGCTGGGCCATAAACTGAAAAATGAGCTCATGCAGAAAACGTGGAATTAAGGCATTTTATAGGGGCCAGCGAGAACCAAGGGGCATGAAATAGGATGGATCTGGAAAGCTTCCACTGACATTCAAAACGGACTTCATGTCTAGACTCACAGCTTTGGGTGGCTGTTTAACGTGACATGGTCGTGATGCATGTCGGTGTCACACCTCTGTCACCCTGTAGCAAAAACTCATGTTTGCTCCAACTACACATTAAAACAGGGGTCCCCAACCGCTGGTCCGCGGACCGGTACCGGTCCGCCGGGTATTTGGTACCGGGCCGCACAGAAAGAACTTGCCTTAATTCCGTTTTATTTCGGAATACGAAAGATGTTTTATTTTGAAGAACTACCGGATTCTCCATTACATCCGTCTGTGTCACGCTTGACACACGTCTCCTTCACGTGACCGATTACTTCAAAACAAAACGCAGGAGCTCGCAAAATGAGTAAAAAAAAAACTGCTGGAGATCGCAAATGACGGCGGCCTTAAAAGTACGTTCGAGACAACTGGATTAAAGTTATGGCTGAATACTCTGAGATCGCCACAATAGCACTGTTGCTATTTCCGACATCCCACCTGTGTGAGACGGGGGGTTTCTGCAGCAACGGCGACGAAAACAAAATTACAAAGTAGACTGGACATAAACCACACACTTGAGGTGTCATTGTCTCCTATTACCTCGAGATGGGACCGTCTGGTTGCAGAAAATCAAGCTCGGTGCTGTGGTGAGTCGTCATTTTCATGCACTTTGAATTTGCGTTGTATCGTATTTTGAAGGCATTAAACATTGCCATCGCGATCGAAGTGTTGCGGTCAGATTAGACGCTCCTTGTGTTTATTATTATATTTCGAAAACGCCACAGTTTTCATGCAGCTCATACCATATTATTTTGTTGTATTTTTTCCGCCACACCTTAAATGCCGGTCCCTGAAAATATTGTCTGACATAAACCGGTCCGTGGGGCAAAAAAGGTTGGGGGCCCCTGCATTAAAGGCACATTAGTGTGATCGTTTTACCAGTTTCCGTTCTTCTGGGAATACATTTGACACATAGTTGGAGTGTGTCTGTGAGAATCTTTGCCTGTTTATTGTGAATAACACTCAAAAAAACATGAATGTGGATGAGAGAGCTCTGAAACCCTCTCATCTGATACTCTCTGATACTGACATCCTGTTTGTCACAGCAACAAACAAAATGCATCGGAAGGACAATTCATAATATTTCAAACCCAGCCAATCCAACTCTTATCTTGTTCCAGCATTGCTGAATAATGTGATAGCAGCTTAGCACAACTACTGATGAGCAGATTTTACCACATTTCGAGTCAAAATGAATCCGGATCCAGAAAAGTAAGGATGCTTCAACTGTCCTCAAAAAGATTTTTTCGAGTCACACCTCTAGAAGTAGGCGAAGTACTTTGACAGTCTGTCAGATTCTATGATTTCAAATGTAGTGTATCCTGTGTTTTTTTTATTTTTTGTTTTGCAAAGGTAAGTCACTTGTTACTTCAATATTAAAATGACCAATCTCCTTAATGATCGAGCATGTAAATATTTGGTTCATTTGGTATCGCTTGGAACCCCAGCTTACCAGGAAATAGGTTTAGAAAATCATGGTATCAGGCTATATACATGAGAATGGCAATATATCAATACTGTATTTTCCGCACTACAAGGCGCACCTAAAAGCCTGCCATTTTCTTAAAAGCTCACAGCGCGCCTTAAAATCCGATGTGCCTTTTGTATGGTCATTACGGTAATATGTCAACCCCAAAATGGCTCCTTGATAGTGATATGCTTACAACGCAGAGTTCAAACTTAAGGCGATCGGTTTCGCAGTTGAACATGGAAATCGAGCAGCGGCAAGAGAGTTCAACGTTAACGAGTCAATGTTACAACTTGCTGTTGGTTAAGTTAACTATTCGCTGCTTTATAAAATACATTTTACTGACATCTGATCGTCGCTATATAAATCAGGGTGTAATGTAGTGTTCTGTTGGAATTTCCTTGAGCGTAGCTCCATCTAGTGAATACATTGTAGATTGCGTCTTATAAGGCGGTGCGTCCAATGTATGAAAAAAATTACAAAATAGGCTATTCATTGAAGGTGCGCCTCATAATCCAGTGCGCCTTTTAGTGTGGAAAATACGGTAACGAGTAGAGGGGTGGTGAGATGAATAGGTACCAAAGGAGATGGGGCATTAAGTTCTTCCTGTGCATTGACTTGACCATTGTTCCTGTATTGCATCTTGTGTCTGCCTCGTCTGCGCAGTGTGATTGTTGTTTAAAAAATATACATAAAAAATATCTCTCTGTCTCTGTCTCTCTCTCTCTGCCTTCTGATCCGCTTGTCCTCACAAGGGTCGTGGGGCATGGGCATGCTGGAACCTAACCCAGCTGTCTTCGGGGAGTAAGTCGGGTACACTCTGAAATGGTTGCCACCCAATCGCAGGGCACACATTGACAAACAACCATCCACGCTCATACTCACACCTCGGTACAATTTTAAGTGTTCCATTAATGCATGTTTTTGGAATGTGGGGGGAAACCAGACTACCCTGAGAGAACCTACGCAGGCACGCATCATACGAACATGCAAACTCCACAAAGGAGGGCTGGAGCCAGAATCGAACCCTGTACCTTTGTACTGTACTGTGAGGCGCATGTGCTAACCAGTCACCCACTGGGCCACCCATATCTATCTATCTGTCTATCTATCTATATATATATATATA